AACCCCCCCCCCCCCCCCCCTTTCTCTATCCTGCACTATATGTGAATGAGTGACTGGTTGGGCAGCAGGGCAGTGTGATGGTGGTGACTTCAGATGGCTAGCAGTGATGTGACCCGTTCTGTCTTCATCTTTAGGTGGGTGATTCTTCACCCTCATCCAAGAAATTATCACCTGTCAGTCAATAAATTTTTATTGGAATAGTTTTTTTCTGTCTTTATGAAATATAAGTTTCTGTGGTTGATACTATATTTTGCCAGTTTGGTGTTGGCAGCTAACACTGCTCAGGCTTCGTCCGTAGTTACTGTGCTGCTTTAGCCACACTAACAGCCATCAGCCCATTGCTATGACACTGCAGATATTCATGGCCCCAGACCTCATATCCTCTTAACTTTGGTTGACAAAGGCTACTGACTTTTGTGATCCCTTGCCTTTTCTCGTCTCTCACTGGCAGGTTAAAATTTTCCCCCTTTTTTGAAATATGTCAGCATACTGTAACTACTAAATGGATTGGCATAAAATATCTTCCAGACATTCATGGTTCCCAGACAGTGTCTTCTGTTGATGGTTATTTCTTAACTTTTCCACTAGCACCATCATCATGCACTAAATTATATTTTTTATTGCCAAAAAAATGGTTAAACTAATAACATTTGTCTCTGCCTTACTGTTCAATTAACAAAAGTTAACGTGTTTAACCAAGTTAAACTGACACAAGTAAACCTGAAGACAAGTAATTCTCATTGTATAGGCTATTATGGGTCTCAAGGCAAAACAGTCTATATAAAAAGCTGATAGCAACACAATATACGGCAGAGGCACAACAAAATACAGCATTTTCTGTCGCTGCAGTGTTTTTCAGTCAGTTGCAAAATGGGCATTGATTTGTGTCTTGTGTGTTTATGTATGTCTGTGTTAACTGTTTAGTTTTTACATGCCAGTAACCAGTTTCTTCCTGCACTGTAAGGTGACCATTGACTTGGAGCTGCACCTTGCCAAGAGGACTAAGCTGAGACCCTCCAGAGCTCTTGTTGCCCACTATGACATCTACCTCTACAGGGTGCCCAGGTCCAAACCCTGAGTCCCCAGGTGGCCCTGTTCCAAAACTGTTAACGGCTCCAGTGGAGCAACGGGCGACATACTGCATTTGGGAGATGTTCTGTGTCCTCCTTCTCTTCCTTGTTTTATCTGCAGAGCCATCAGTACTCACTTGCTGCCAATCTCCATGCTCAGCGAGCTTCAGTGATTGACATCATGGATTCTCAGCCCGCACACTCTCTGAAGAACTGCTCCTCTTATAGCTCCTGTTCCTGGCTTTCATCTTGAAATGGTAGCAATTGGTTGGGATTCAGGAAATGCTCTTATTCAAAAAAAAATTTCACACAAATTTCAGTGGACTTTTGCTTCTACAGTTTGGCAATGTTGAAACAGAAAACTGGAACATATTATGGAGGTGAAAGGAAAGTGAATAATGTGGGGGTACAACCTGGACAGGTCGCCAGTCTATCACAGGGCTGATGCTTAGAGACAAACAACCCCACACACACACACACACACACACACACACACACACTCCTACGGGTGTATGTCTTTGGGCTATGGGAGGAAGGCGGTGTACCCAGAGAGAATGCAGGCACAGGGAGAACATGCAAACTCCACACAGAAAGGCACCGGGTTTGAGCCCCAGCAGACCCTTCCTACTGTGAGGCAACAGTGCTAACCACTGCACCACCATGCCACCCCCTATTTTGGTGTGACAGATGTAAACTTGCATGGGTTCCTCTCAAAATGTGATGTGAAGTGATGTGATCCACAGAAACAGATGTAAATATTCTATCATGTGACCTGCAGGTCTCCCCTGTTTGAGACTAAAGTGTAGATTTAATGGATTTACAGTCTTGATGATATAAAGATGCTGGGGAATTACACACTGCCATCTGCTGATCCTAAGAAATTATCAGATGCTAATTTTCTCCCATTTTGCAAGTGTTTTATCTCACTGTTCTGTATGAGCCACAAGTGTAAAATGGATGACTAACACAAGCCAGAATAACCCCTGAGAATGATGGATTACAATATTATGTATTATACCTTTGAAAAATATATGCATATTGATAATACTCATCACTGATATTTGTGGAACAGAAACTAGAAATTCCACATAAGCGCATCAGAAAAAAAATGTGAGTTTGAGTATTTTTGGATAAGTATGTTTTAAGCCACTTGGAAAGTAAAAACTAGATTATCATGTTTGTGTATAAAAAGAAGAGACATGAAACTGTCCCTGTGCCTGGTTGTCTTGGTGCACCTGTAACGCCGTCCAGAGGGGAGGAGTTCAAACAGATTGTGTCCAGGGTGTGAGGGGTCTGCAGTGATCCTCTCCGCCCTCCTTTTGACCCGTGAGGTGTACAGGTGCTCCATGGAGGGCAGGCTCACACCAGCGACCTTTTCTGCAGTCCTGACTGTCCGCTGAAGTCTGTACTTGTCCTGTTTGGTTGCTGAGCCAAACCAGACAGTGATGGAGGTGCAGAGAACAGACTCCATGATTCCTCTGTAGAACTGTTGGTTGGTTGATGATTCCCAACTATCCTCTGGCAAATATTCCTTTGTTAAATTTGAAAAGGTTAAACTCAAAGAATATATGAAATAACTTGCAAAGAGGTGATGCTTGCAAAAAATGGTATATCACTCTAAATATAAAATTACAATATATAAAAAAATGCCCTTTTGGGGCTGTCAGTCTCTCTTGAGCTATGTTTGGATGAAAAACTGTGTAAATTTAAAGAAAAATCTGAATTATAGTGGAACAGTGATAAGGAGTGCGAGCATAACTTCCACCACCATGCTGCCTCCTACTACTGGTGTGCCCTGTCGCTACTGTGAGTCACTAACACAGTTCTACCTGCAGAGGGCAGTGTCTGCAGCTCAATAAGGATTGAAATACAACGAAGAAGGTGCCAAGGGCTGGTAAAGATCGTCTGTTTCGATGCCTGTCACCGTGGAGACAATTTTGTCACAGATCTGATGTTGTTGTTTCACTAACAAATACTCATGAAGAGCGTAAGATTTTTTGTCGTACATAGTTGAGTAAAATTCATGCGAATTATTTTTGGAGCGCAAGATTATATGCAGTACTAAGCCGCTGCTAAAGGTTGTCCGTTTTCGAAAGGTCTTTTCCACCACCATAAATTGGGTGCAGAGAAAGAGTTCCTGTATAATTGTTACTCTTCGTTGGGAGCATGCTACTTGTTATTAGCACAGCAGCTAGCAGAGAAAACGCTTCCAAGCTTTTGTTTTTTTGTTCCAAGTAGAATTACTGACGTTACTTTTAACCCCTGAATTCATAAGACAGTCCTTTAGGGTTACTTATGCAATAACTCATATTTTGTAACATTATTTCCTCTCGCTTAGAAGTTGTTTAGTTTATCTTATTTACAATTGCTGGTAAGGTTAGCTATGTATACAGAACTCAACAGTATCCTGAACACCACCCCTGACAGTTTCACGCAGGTAATAATTTTTTACATTTTTTATTTTAGGCAAAGTGATATGGGATGTACCAGTTACATGTCATTGATCCTAACGTCAGTATGTCTGAGTTCCTGTATGTGCAGCAAACTTGAGCTGCTATGTAGCGAGCAAATTTTACATCCTTATTTTCTAATGCCATGTTTGTAACCATGTCCAAACCAACAGGGAGAGTTTATCTTGGTCTCAGACAGGCAGAGTGATGCCTCTTTCCTCATGCACCACTTCCTATCCTTTTACCTACGAGGTGAGTTGTAACACCCGTCAGCGTGTTCTCAAAATAAGGCAAGGCAAAGAAAATGTATTTATATAACGCTGGCACGTTTTCACACACTGAGGCAATTCATAGTACTTTACATAATCCATAACGTTACATACATAAAAACATTATGCACGGTAAAATAGTAGAAGAAAAGGAAATACTAATTAAAAAAAGATAACTAAAATGTTCAAATAAAAGACAATTAAAGTCATTGGAAAATAATATAAAATGGTTTTAAAATGGTTGGGGGTTATGTCAAATCTCTGTTCTAAGGGGGTGCTGGGTCCAGGTGTGAGCAGCATAATGGATAAAAGTTACTTCACCATGTTTAGCCTGAACCCTTGGCACCACTACCTGACCAGTCTCTGCAGATCTGAGACACCTGCCAGGAATTGTACTCAGCAAACACATCCCTGATACATATATTTAAATAAGGGCAAGTCAAAAACAGCTTATGTCCTTTATTTCTGTTTCAGCGCGCTGCAAAGTGTGTTTTCTGGGCTTGGTGCAGTCCTTCAGTCACTACAATGCAGTTGGTCAGAGGCTGGTAAGTCTCCACTGACATGTCACGCTGTGTTTCAGTATGCATACAGTTTACTATAGGAAGTAAAATATTTCTTATATGTAATTTAACTCCGTTCTGATTATAACTGAATAAAAATCCTAAAAAAAATAATGTGTTAAAACAATTTATGTGATTCTGATACTTTGATAATTGGCAGTAGGTCTGACATTGTCATGAAAAAACAATACGTTTTAGCACCTGGCTGTTATAGTATGTCTTTATTTGGGTGTGTACACACTAAATAATGGCAGGAAATGTATCTCTGTAAATCTGTGTGTATGTGTTCTCAGGGTGTAAGTCTAGTACAGGCAAAGGAGAAAGGTCAGCTGATTTTCTTTGAGGGACTGAAGGAGTCGCTGTCGGTTTTGATTTCACAAGAATCCAACACAAAAAGTCAGGCCATTGACTTCCTCAGGTAAATAAATTAAAAGAATTTCTTTTCTTTCTTATTATGTTATGTTTTTTCCACATTGTTTCATTAACACATTTGTTTTTGTTTTACCTGTGCACATTTATATTTTATCATTGTCTGTCAGTGTAATGGTTGTATTACTAATCTAACAATTTGTATACTATTCCTGAGTTTGTTTTTTTTAAGTTTTCCTCATACAAAATGCAATTTTGTTCCCCCACATTTCTAGACTTTTACACCTCTGTAGTAAATCCTTTAGTAAAAAATGCAATGCTTTTTTTGCGGTCTGACATCTTTCCTGCCTGCCTGTCTGTCACTATCTCCATCTCACTCATGGCTCAATCTTCAGGGATCCTTCTGTCGGCCTGCGGAGTTTGTACGAGTTTGTCCGTTGCACTGTAAGCAGCAGCTCTGGCGGTGGGGAGAAAGGGGCAGATGGGGCAGAGGAGTGGGGACCCCCGGTGCTGCTGGTGGATGACCTCAGTGTACTGCTGAGTTTGGGCGTGACCGTTGGAACCGTGCTGGACTTCAGCCACTACTGCCGAGCCACAGTCTGCTCTCAGCTACAGGTCAGTCTTGTCTTAAAACATCCTTTCAATACAAACTGTATGTCTTCCTAACATGTATTAACTAACGAGCACTGACTTGCAGTATATTCAGTAAGTGTGTTAGGACAAACAGGATAACTACTGAACAGTTCTCATAAAAATGAGTCGCTTTGACTGTGAGTGCAGGGGAACATGGTGATGCTGACGCGCTGTGATGGGGAAGAAGAAGCGGATGACGGAGATGATGAAGGCTCAGAGAGGCTCCATAGGGGCCTGACTCACCAGTGTAGCCTTACTCTTCATGTACAGGGTCTCCCAACTGGCTACTGTAGGGACATACATGGACAGGTGTGTGCTTGTGTCCCTGTGCTCCTATGGTGTTTTTTTTATTCTGATACATTTCCAGCACTACACAGATGTGCTATACTATAAAGATCCATTGGAATTTCTTCAACATAAAACTTGCAGGTATCCTTGCATACATGAATACTAGACTTGAGAACACGACTAATGATTATTTTCAGTACTGATTGTTTTCTAGATTAATCTTTTGGTCTCCAAAATGTCAGACCACCAAAGCTGAAGCTGACAAAGTACTGGTTTTGTTTATTAACATGGGGCAGCTGTGGTTCAGGAATTTAAGTGGGTTATCCCCTAATCACCGCTTTGGCCGCTCGATCCCCTGCTTCTCCAGTTCACGTCAAAACGCTGAACCTCAAGTTACTCCCGGTGGCCTTGTATGACATCTCTGCTACAGACTAATTATCCGTTGATTGACTAATCAATGAACTGTCTAATCATTTCAGCTATATTAAATAAAATGCATTTCAATGTTTCTCAAATGATGATAACTGAAAATGATTTAATAACATCGATCTAACTGTGATGGGGCAACTTCATTTGGCAAAATTTTGATGAAAGAAGTATTGCTAACTGAATGACATGACAGTAGTACAAAAATGATTGTACATTAAACGTGGCAGGAGGTGAAGAAAAGCTTGCATTTAAATAAGATATTGAAACAAACATAAAAAAAATGAAATGTTTGTTGTTTTCAGGTGGAAGTGTGTTGGAGGAGGAGACAAGGTGATGGGCAGCACACACAGAAGAAACTATTTCAGTACAAGGTCCATGATAAAGGAGCCTCCTTCTTTGCTCGTGGGACATCCAGCGCTGTTCTCTAGTTGAACCTTTCCATGTCTTTCTTAGCCTTTTGTCTCTCATATGTGACACTGACTCTTATATTTTAATATCACCAGACGATACTGGTGGTTTCCAGTGTCAACAACCTGGTCTGGACCTTATACTGTGCAGAAGAAGGACACTGTCATCCTGCCAGCTGAATCACTGAGTTGTTGCCAATTTGTCAGATTTTTTTTTTCAACATTTCAAATAAAAGTGAAAACAAAACGGCCCTTCATTCTGGTTATCAGGCTGGTCCGCTGAACTGTTGACTACAGACTTGTAGCCTACTATTGTCTGTATTGGTTGCGTGGATTAATTATTTTTTGTATATTGACGGTGTGTTTTGCATGCAGACATTTATGTTTAGTGAACACAATATGGACAGTGGACTGGTTGATAAAGTGAAGAAACAAATAATGCACAATGATAAATGTTTATTTGCCCAAGGAAATACTTCTTGAGTAAATAAGATGATTATTTTCACCAAGAATCGTGTTTCGGCTTTATAGAGCTGCAAGGTAACCAGATGTTCTAATAATAGAAACAGTGGGAAATGTGTTTATCGTCGGTGCCAACAGTAGGGGTCGCTCGGTCCTCGCTGGTTGTGTTGGGTGAGAGGTCGAAGTGGAGAGGTCTCTGGGATTTGACAACCAGTGGAGCTGAAACGTCGTTTCTGCGTGTTAGCGTCAGATTGAAGTCATGCAAGTTACTCTTAGGCAGATTTTCAAAACAAAGGAATACTAAAGTTACTCTGGTTGCTGGCTGAGTTTACCCAGGAGGATCTGAGCAACAGCGGCATTTGGGGATCTGTGAAGTTTGTCAAGGTAAGTGTGAATTGTTGAGCTAAAACCTTCTATATACAGCCGTTAGCATTAGCTTTGTGGTTGTAGAAATCATAAGAGATGTTCAGTTGTCTAATTACGCCATAATGTTAGCTGCCGAGCGTTGTTATGGTCAGCAAGTTGCAGTTACCGAGCCCACACTCACCAGTTTCGTTTTGTAAAATCAGATATGATCAGTACATCTTGTTAGATGTACAAGGTACCTCTTAACGTTGTTAGTCACTGTGCCAAACAAGCCAAATTTAGCGTTAATTTGATATGTGTAGAGCTATTAGTTACCAATTTCGCGTTGTTAGTCAGGTTTTGGTACCAACAAACTAGCCTTTCAAGACATGTATTACCCAATTTTTGCTTTTCTATGTAATTTGTAAAATATATTTTTTGGTTGTGAACCGTGTTCACTGAGGATCTATGTTAGCTAGCGTTAATCGCTTGCTAGTAATATCATCTCTTAGCTTGGTACTATCACAAGTTACTGAAGAGGTAATTAAATCATTTGGGTGTGACTTATACTTGAGCATGTATGTTTAAGAAGTTTTGGCCTTGAACATAAGAAATTGTGTATTGCATAAATCTGGTCTTGTGGTTTTTGAAGTGCTGTGGTTAAAGTGGACTGTTTTATGCGAAAGATCTCACACACTCAGGTAGCTAACGTTAGCAAGCTAACAATTAGAGGGCTTATTTGGTTTAACTTCTTCAGCTCATTAATTGTGTTTACATAAGATCCTTATGTGGTTGTTAGTGCTTACGATAATTCCAACTGATACAAAACGATCTTAAAATAAGTGTTGGATAATAAAAGTTGGAAATACCCTGAAAGGAGCAGGTAACGTTAGCTAGCTGTTTTCATTAGCAACTTGACAGCAGGTTTCCTGCAGGTCCCTGGAAGGGATTCAGTTATGAAAACACATTACCCCACTCAAGGCAAATGGCATGTTTGTGTTATTTACCAATGTTTATACGCCTTTTCATGTCGATCTGGCTTTTGGTTTATTGATGTTTTGTGCTAAATGATGTAAACATACTGAATGTCTGCCAATGGGTACATCTGCCATTATTAATGATACTCATGCTTTGTAACCTTAAGTTCGCGTGTTCCACTTTTTAATCTCGCAAAAAACGTTTATAAAAGTAAAACTACACTTAATTTATTTGAGGACTATCCTAGAACCTTGTCTGGGACCCCTAATGTTAGAGTTCCCTGGCCCCTATTGTGGGGGCCGCTGCGCTAGCTTGTTCCTGGCAGGTGATGTTGCGACACGGTTGCATCATCTCCAGTATCCCAGCAGGTGGTTATTGTCTTGTGAGTTGCATTTTCAATATTTTGGCTATTTTAATGTGCTGCTCTAAATTGTAAAGGCAGGTACATGTGTTGGAAAAAGATAACTTCTAAAACTTTACCGAGTGTCATTCTTTTAATGATATGGGCATGAGAACCTGCAGATATAATTATTTAAAAATATCAAGATTCAGTATGTTGTAATTTCCTTTCTCTTTCCACCATTGGCATAACATCGTGGTTACTGATTGACAGGATGTTTCCCTTTTTCATCATCAGCCCTGGTTATAAAAGGCTGGCATCATCCACATCCAGCTTGTCTCTATATTTACAACAGGGCTGATGGGTTTCACTGATCAGAGGAGCAAGCTTCCACATTATGCCACTATTGTACCGAGTGTTGATGCCGCAGGCGTGCTATGGAGAGTGGACTCAGCATAAATCTCCCTGGAATGTATGTGGACACTGGTATAGCTTTTGACTTGCAGTAATTCATGTTTACACGTAGATGAGGAGTGTAAATGCATTGATACTGAAAGTTGATGATGATGCCTTTGGAGTGTGTAAACCCTGGAGAGACCTTCAAACTGGGCATTTTAAGAAGTATTGAAAAGAGGTAAGCTCGTGTTCTTTCTCTCATTTCAGTGTAGGGTTGTTCTGAGTGAACTGTCTTAGTTTTAAACCGTTTTTTAAAGGTCATCTATAAACTCAGCCATTTTGTTGCACACAGTATGCGACTTATTAAATCTGCCTTAATATGCAAGCCACATTCTTAAGCTGCTGAGACCTACAGCGATCTCCCTAGTTGAATTTGCACTTTCAGTGTGAAACAGTCATTTAGCTGTGTTTTTGCACTTTAGTGTGCTGGGTTTTTATGTAGGAGGCATATAAGCTGTTCATTGTTAGACTGATTGTTGCCTAGCACGTACGCACAAAAGCAGTGTGTTTGTTAGTTGAAATGTTTTTGACGTTGTCATGAAGATTTATTTGTGGTTTGTTGGGTTTAAGTAAAATGTCATTTTATTCCCTGGGCATTGTTTTGGAAAACCTGAAGACTGGATGGTTTTTGTGGGGATATACCAGCTACAATCGCTGGTCACCTGCCAAAGTGGCTGAAGGCCTGTGCCTATTGTTCATTGTTATGAAGTTTTAGCTTTAAAATATCACTCAGACTTGCCATGTGAATGTGTCAGTGTGCTACAATGTAAGATGTGAACAGAGGAAGAGAGAAGCAGTGGGAGTAGCCATAGGCTCTGAGCCCTGCATGTTGAATTTCCGAACAGCTCAACTCTGGATTAGTTCATGGCCATGGCCAAATCTGGCCTTGCTTTAACCTCTAGAGTCCCTGCGTCCTCATATGAGGACCAAAAATGCATATGAAACCAAAGCTCAGGACTCTAGAGGTTAATGCGCAGTGAACTGGACAGGTAGTTGAGAGATGGAGGCATTCACTGAAAGTTTTCCCTTGCAAGCCATTGAGCAGGACCAGAGCCTGGCTGAGAGTCAACCTGCCTTCAAATCAGAGAACAGAAAGGCTTTGCTTCAGAGTCCTCTTTTAACCTTTGCAGAACTCATTGTGTGAACTTGTCAGGACGTTGCTGTGTTTACTGTATAATGTATTTAAAGCATCAGATCAAGGGACTCCTGAGGCAAATTCCTCCCAGGGAATATTTCCGTTCCTCCTTGGGGGACGGGCCGAGCAGTCACAAACTCTGCCTGAATCAAGAAGGGAGCATAATGTTAACCACAAGTCATTGCTCAAGCTCAAAAAATCCAGTGCTGCTGCTTTTAGGGGACATAAACAGCCTCAAACCAGAGCGGTAACCTGGTCTGCCATTAGAAGGTAGGGTCTCAGAACCATGCAAGACTTGTATGATGGTTGCAGCGTGGTAACGGATAATGTGACAGAGCTTGGTTATTGTGTTTTGACATGGTTAATAAATAATATGGTGCTGCCTATGGATACTATGTGAGAAGCTGAATCAAAAGAGAGTTTGTAAGGATTTGGAGAATGAGCTGCTATACAAATTCAAAATAGGTGTGTGTGCATGTGCTATGGCAGCCAGTTCAACATTGTAATAGAGCATTGTGTAACTACAAACACTGATAAGCAGCACTGATCTTTCCTGATAAGTAAACAGACGAGAGCTGAGATTGGGCAGAGAAGTCAACAGGAGATTTAGTAGGTACCGGAAACTGACAGATGAGTCTGTTTGAAGTGGGGTGATCCACCCCAAAAGCAAAGATTTCCTCCACTTGTGTTGACATTAAATCAGCGTTCAGTCACGCAGAGGCAGTTATTGCTTATCTCTGTAAATTTATTGGGTCAATATGAACATAGTCCAAATGAATGATTTTAACAATTGTATTTTGCTTGAGTTTGATGCATATTGTAATTACAATAGTAAGAAATATTGATTTATATGTGATTTTTGTGAACACCTGAGTAATATTCTTAACATTGTGAAACTGATTCGAGCTGAAACATTAAGGCAGTTTATTAACTAGTTGATCAAAAAAACATATTCGTCAATGTTTTTTCCAACAACACTGCCACTCATTTACCAATTCCATCTTCAAAAGGGTGAATGTTTGATGGTTTTCTTTATCATAAATGACTGATGATCAGATAAAACAAGCGATTTGAACAAATCTGGGGCCCTGGAAAAAATAACATGCATTCTTAGGCTGCAGCCACAAAATCAGTAATGAAGGCCAAGTGTGGTCAATATTGTTCAGAGTGTCCTGTTCTAAAATGTATCTACTTTTACCATTTGGTTTAATGACTTTATAGCTGTGTAAATAATAAATACTACTGTCTTCTACCTTGGCCACCTTTTCCCTTTGAGTTTTTTTTTTTAACCTGAATGGAAGTGGAATTTACCCACTGTCCTATAACAAAAGCCTGTTATCATGGAGCCTGGTGGCTGTTTACTTTTTTAGCTAGGTGCGATCAATGAGACATACATCAGTTTGATTCAGTGCCGCTGCTCAGGCGGAGTTGCATGTTTTCCACAGTGGGGAATGTATCCAAACCTTTTTCACTTCTGAATGAGCTGTGTGTTTAAGTGCTGTCTACCATGTGACCCCCGTATGAGAGGAGTATGTAACAAATTATGTGTTCAGGACAGAGCAGCCTTGTAAGAGCTGGGTGTTGTGTTTGAGTGTGTCTGTGGTGATGTACCACAGCACATACCTAGTTTGGATACAAGAAGGATATTTACAGTATGAAGCCTTGGACTACAGTTTAGTTTTCACATATGTTTTTATTTGAAATGCCAAATGTACTGGGTGCAGCTTCTCAGAAGTGAGGTTTTTGTACTTGCCTGTTTTAATACTTTTGTTTATGAACGGTTAGTTGGACTAAAACTGTTTAAAGACTTCATAATGACTCTGAAAACATGAAAATGGTATTTTTGCTTGAAAAAGGGCTTGAAAGATGTATTTTTTTTTTATTCAGGTTCTCCTCCTCCTCCTCCAACAGATCCCTGGATGCCCCGCGGTGCACCGTTCTCAGCCGGCCACTGCTTTACAATGGCCGGGAGTTGACCCTACCAACCAGGATGACGCTGCGTGAGCGGCTGAGGGAGAGGATCTCAGCGGCCTTCTACCGCCATGGGCTGCTATGTGCCTCCTACCCAGTACCCATCATCCTCTTCACCTCTGTCAGCATCCTCACTTGCTGGTATGCGTCTCTGTCTGGAATGTTATGCTAAGTTACTATGCTTTGCAGCATTAGTAGAATTGCTGTGTCCAATGATGCCTGACAGGGTATGTCTCTGAAACAGTCCATCATTCGCATCAGCTTCATGCAGTGATGGGGCTTTATTTGAACTTTGCAAACTCACTATTTGTTAGTTAGCAACAAAACTTGTTATATAAAGTTGAAACCTTGTTGTTTTGAACAAACAGATACTCATGGGCATGTAAAAATCTACTGCTGGCATGAACGAAAAATAGTCTGTATGTATGTATAGTATGTCTGTATAGCTCGGCCAAACCTTTCACCTATTATTTAAACTTTCTAGTTTAATGTCTGCTGTCTACAGACATCTACAGCTTTCAGTCCTGTAAGTAACTGTGACGACTCGATTCATTCATGGACTCCCCTCTTGTATCGAGCTGTGATGTTTGGCCTGTGAGCATGTAAAGCTTGTGCGAGGTGGCGTTTGTTAAAGACTGATAAAAACAAGCACATTTCTCATTGAAAGTATGAAGCAAGCCATGCAACATACTGTTGAGAAGGCCTCAGCTGCAAGGCTATATTTTCTGTTGTTATCATAGTTACAAATGTCAGTGGGACTTTGAAGAAGGTTTTCTTAATTTTTGGAACATAATCCTGAAGTTACAGTTTCACTTCGGGTTTATCTGTTGCACTTTACCCTTGTGCAGATGAGTGCAACCTTATGAGGTTACTATTATACCAACGTTTAAGCACTATTGATGTTTCCCCTCTTTCACTGTGGCTGTTGGGAACAAGTAAACAATTGTGTTTAGACAGCATGTTGTTTAAATTTGTTCTTTTCTAGGAGAACTTGCAACCCTGTGTACCTGCTGTGACTCTAAGCTTTACAGCTGTTTTTCAAGCCTATAATAAAACCGGCCAGCATTTGATACCCGAAAGGTAGATTTTCTTTGGTGACAGCAGTGATGGTGTTTGGATGGATATATGACTGTAGACCTCTGAATGGTGCCTGCTTCTTCATTAAAACACGAGGGAAAAGTGATCTTGTAATCCAATGCAGGCAGACTGAATTGTAGAGAAAGTAATGGGACAGAGGAGACAAGTAACTGGCCATCTGCAAACACATAACAGCCCCCCCCGCTGACAAACATTCACTCAACACACAGACACATGTACTCTTGCTAAATCACCAGTCAGAAGAAAGGTCAGAGAGTTGATGCGGCCTCTTCAGGAAAAGCACTGTAACACAGTCTTAGCAGTCTGAACACACACATGCACCTACTGTGCACTGTCGTTGTAGCACCTTACAGCATGGGCGTTGACCAAATGGTCAACTGACCACCACCCGAGGTGAAGCAAAAGAAAAGAGCATGACAACGGGGATGCTACAGGCAGGACTAGAGCAGAGGGCTGTGAGAAAATAGCCCTGTGAGAATGGGAGGCCTGTCCCTCCATCTGCCTGTCAGGAGGGGGCTGTCACAGCACAAAAGAGGTCTTTGTGAAGTTACAGTGACCTTGGAGAGAAGGGGGGGAGGGTTCTATCAAACTGACAAGCACTTTTTTTTTTTAAAAATTGGGTTATAACTAATATTTTTACAAGAGAACCCAGTAACCATACATGAGGAGGTTGTTAATGCCTTGGACTCGGCTTTCTCAGCTGCTCCTCAGTTTTGGAAACAAAGACGCTCACATGCAGTTAATACATACAGAAATAGTACTGAAATAGCAAAGATTTGATCTCAGAC